GATTTCTCAACAACGATACGACCTATCGACTTGATTCCAATCACATTATCCGTTTCAAACTATAGGTAATCGAATGGCATACTTTTAAAAAATCACAATTGTTGGTGTAAATACAGAAATTTTTAAAATATGTCTATATGACCATAGCATGCTATAATAACGAATGGCATCAAAATCCGATTTATAAAAAATATTTAAGCATGTGAAAAATCAAAATCTCGGTAGTTTTTTTACGCGGCACGTATCCCCCGCGTAAAAAGCGACTCCAGTGTATTAACTTTAAAACTATGTTTGAATGAAGCGAATTGGATGAATATAACAAGACTTGTCATTGACAAGAGTACTCAAAACATGGTTCCGAGAAAAACGCGTTTAAAGTTTTTGGCGTGACATGGGTCCGTTCGAGACGCTCTAACCCGAAAAATACGTATTGTATCGGAATATCCCTTGACACATATATTCTACACATGTGTAGTTTTCATTTTATGTAAAAAAACGGTTTTTTCGACAAAACCTTAATGAACCTCCCCTTAAAGTAAAGGTGATTGTGCATTTAAAATGACGCTCTCAAAGTGATATTTACAGGTTTTATGTGTCAAACATTTACCTTTCAACCTCTTCTTTTATCTAGTACAAAATACCATTATAACATCTAATGACTTCAAAATTCCGAAAAACATTTTTTATAGAGTTGGTTGGAAATGCTATCTAACATGAAGCTTTAGTGTGATAATTTATTAGCTAGAGAATGATCTTAGAAGCAGGTAGGTGGATAGTTCCGTTAGAGTACGGCAGTATGAAAATTGAATAGAAGTTGAAAATGAGCGAAGGACCATTAATGCGACAGTACAAAGTCAAACGCACACCTTTTGCCTAACTTTGCTCATTACTGTCTGCCGCTGTTCTAGCGACGTTTCATCACTACCTAGAGCGATCAAACGTGTGGAATTTTTTAAGTGAATAATGTGATATAACGTACACGCAAAATTTAGCATATTTTTAGTTTTATGTCAAAATTTCAGCTCAATTGATCATAACAAAACATAGTGGCAACATGCCAAAGTTGGCTAGTTTGTTTGAAAATCGGGCTATTGTCCTATTTTAATGGCCACCACTGTATACAGTTCCATTCTGGCATATAGGATCCATCGTCCAATACAAACAGATCCACCAGGCATTTTTCTACGTTTCGGATGTATTTACTGCCGTAAGACCAACAATCAATTCGAAACTAACGATTTTAAATTGGCTCACTACTTGAAGCAGGGTTGCTTCCACTCACTTTCTATAAAAAATATATTTTGGAATAACAAAATCATTAGATGTTTTTATGATATTTTGTACTTGTCAGTTAAAAGAAGAGGTTGTAAAATATGTGTTTGACATATGAAACCTGTCAATTTCGCTTTCAGAATGTCACAACCAGCGATTTTATGATTCGTGAGCGTTCACTCAGAGTGATCGCTCGCGAGTCGTAAAATCGTTGATTGTGACTATCTGAAAGCGAACTTGACTGGTTTTATGTGTCAAATACTTGCCAATAGCTTCTCTGTTGGTGGAGAATGGAAAGGTTCCTTTGGTGAATGTTGTCACCGAAGACCTGGCCACCAAGGCGCTAAGGCTCCTAGAAAGGGATCCCATTCTCAATGACAGGCCCACGGTTGCAAGGGCGAGAGAATGGTGGAGCGACTTGACGGGAGTAGATCTTCCCACGTTAGCCCAGCGAGCTAGGCTGTGGCAACGGGCATGGGATGCTACTGCCCCGAAAGTTGATTGGAGGGTTAAAGCTATGTGCGGGGCGGGGGCTAGCTCTAGTGTGGCGAAAGCTGCATTTAGGGAGGTCGCTGCCTCATACGAGGGAAGGCTCAAGCTATTTACGGACGGTTCATTAATCGAAGAGGAGGTTGGTTATGGGGTGTCTGGGGAGGACATAAGCCGCTGCGACCGGTTACCCGGTCTCTGTGGTATCTTCTCAGCTGAGGCCTATGCTCTCCTGCAAGCTTGTAGGCTAGCAAATGGGTCTCAGGCTGTTGTATTCTCTGACTCTGCGAGTTGTCTCTCTGCCCTTGAGCATGGGCAGGTTGGACACCCGTGGCTGTTAGAGGTGCAACGGTACGCTAACATAACCTTTGCATGGGTACCTGGACACGCAGGTATACCAGGGAATGAGGCTGCTGATAAACTAGCTAACCAGCGTCGTCTTGCTCGACTAGAGGCCACTCCGGTGCCCTATAGTGACGTACCCGCTGGGTGAAGCAGACCTCGCGATACGCATGGAATGTGTCTTGGCATAACAACCGTGATGCATTCCTGCGTCGTATCAAGAACACTACACAAGAGTGGAAAGATGCACCTAATTCTCGAGATCAGAAAGTTCTGACTCGGCTGAGAATTGGTCATACACGGCTCACTCATGGACCTCGTTTTAACGGCAGTGTGGACTACTGCCAGGGATGCGGTGCGGTATTAGATGTAAATCATCTATTGGTGGAGTGCCCGGCAAGAGCACAATTAAGGGAAGATATGGGTGTCGTTGGTTCAATCCGTGAGGTATTGTTCAACGACAGGAGTACAGAGCAAACTGTACTCAACTTCCTGAGGGCGTTAGACTTATACGATATGATATAAGCATGAGTAAGTTGAAGTGGCATTAGAAAGAAAATGACTGGTAGTCATGCCACTTCATTCGACAAGAGGCAGTCTTTAAGGTCCTAAAGACCAAGGTGTGTGAGGGAGGACGACCGACCTAACGGGGGACACAATGATGAAACAGCTGATGTTTAAAACCCGTCTCGAATGAACTAAATTCTCCTCTTGTAGGAGAACAGTTTAAAGAGACGTTAATAGACGTATCCACAGCAGTATCCAATACTTACAAAGGAACGATCCATGAACCCGTTGGGCACCCGTTTGCCACTTTTAAATCCTTGGTTGAATCCCTGTTTCACCTGTTGTAAGTTTCAAGTATAAATTATAATTTTATAACACTAAATAGCTTCACTTCGAAGTAAACAAAGTAGTCAACCACTTTTCAACAGTCAACAGTGATGTCGTTTTGTATTATATTATTTGTGTCCTACTTGTCAGCGTGTGCCCTAAAATGCCGAACTGTGCCGATCAGTGTGTCATACTTTGTTTTGGCACAGTGTACAGATTTGATTACCCCTTGACAGGGTTGCTTGCACTCACTTGCTATAAAAAATGTTCAAAGTGTTTTTTTTTATGTTACTTCATACGCCAAGTTTGCGATTTTCAACGTGGGGCTTTAGGTAGTGATGAAACGTAGCTAGAACTATTCCACAGCGGCAGACAGTAATGAGCAAAGTTAGGCAAAAGGTGTGCGTTTGACTTTGTACTGTCGCCTTAATGGCCCTTCGCTCATTTTCAAACTCCTATTCAATTTTCATACTGCCGTACTCTAACGGAACTAGCCACCTATCTGCTTCTAAGATCATTCTCTAGCTAATAAATTATCACAGTAAAGCTTCATGTTTGATAGCATTTCCAACCAACTCTATAAAAAATGTTTTTCGGAATTTTGAAATCATTAGATGGTTATAATGGTATTTTGTACTACATAAAAGAAGAGGTTGAAAGGCAAGTGTTTGATACATAGAACCTGTAAATATCGCTTTGAGAGCGTCATAATAAGCGATTTTATAATTCGTGAGCATTCACTCAGAGTAAGCGCTCGCGAGTCGTAAAAACGCTGATTGTGACTATCTGAAAGCGAATTTGATAAGTTTTATGTGTCAAGCACTTGCCTTTCAACATCTTCTTGTATTTAGCAAATACAAAATATCATTATAACATCGAATGATTTCAAAATTACGAAAATCATTTTTTTTATATAATAAGTGAGTGGAAGCAACCCTGCCCTTGGTTTTATCGTATTTTTTTTTTCAGAGTTTAGAACTGTAATTTTTGAAAGTTTCGTCGTTATTAGCTATTCGGACGTTTGAATGCCCATTTCTGGTTTTATGCTATCATGTAGGCTATAGGCGTTTTGAAGCATATTTAAACCATTTTAGAGATTTTACGGTCCTTTTGTCCTGACAACATAGGGAAATGGCTTTAATATTGGCCTATGGATCTAAGATTGGGGCCATCGCTAAAAATTTGCTATTCATCAATTTTATCTAGATAAACACGTCATTGGGACGGTACTAATGGTCGCTATTGAAAATTTAGTCGATTGCTGAATTTATGTACGGGTTCAAATTAGGGGCACTTAGGCCGACATTTCATCCATTTCCCCTATGTGTATTCAATATTGGTGGGTCACGAGCTTATGGAATCTCCCAAAGTGGGTTGCAATCAAGAAAAGTTTGAAAACCGCAGCATTTGATGTTATTATGAAATTTTGTACTTGTGAGTTACAATAAGAGGTTGTGAAGTATGTGTACAGTGAAACGTCTTCCTGCATCTTACAAGTACAACATAGCATTGGATGTTATAATGATTTCATAATCCCGGAAAAAAAATTCCAATAGCGAGGTGAGCGTAAGCAACCCTGTCCCCTACCCAAATCGTTGGCAACAGCGACCCAAAACAAATGATACCGAACGAACGTGCATTTATAGATCCCTCTCTGCTACAACAACAGCTCTTACTCTTACGTTGCCCGTCCGTATCAATTCGGGCTAGTGCGTGCAACAAACAACACTCCGCGTAATACCGCGGATATCCCGAAATGCGTACCACACAACAGCGATGTATGTATGTATTTATGTACATATACGGATGCGGATAACAGGGGGTGCGATCTTGGGAGGGTTGTTCGCGGTGGGTGATAATAGTGCCAAAGCATTCGGGTGCGCGCAGTCGCGTGGTGGACACTACTCGGAATGATATCAAAATAGAGGACGAATTTTATCCAGACTCTGTGCCAACACACAGTCAGTGTCCGCGCGTTGGGAGAGAGCAACCAAACAGTGTCGAGTCGAGTGTTGTTCTCGGATGTGATAAAAGTGTATTTTCTCTCATTTTTATGGAATCAGGCTTTGTGATCATAGGTGTTGAAAATTGTTTGTGAAAACTGGAAAAAGGTGCGCTTGCCAGTCGGTGGCAACTAGTGGTGGAAAATGTCCTGATAATGTGGATCAGCGACCGCAGATCGTAGCTAACACGTAGTACGTAGTACGTGACGAAGGATAAACGCGAAAAACAGGGGCGACGTTCTGTCTATCCTGCAAATCGAATTATAGGGGTTGGAATAGCAGACTGCCAGGATTGGGATAGGCTCTCGCGCACACACACGAAGGAAAGCACCAGTGAAAACAGCGAGTCCACGGTGCAGCAAAACAAAACATGGCTGGTAAGTATAATGAACTTTGAGGAAATCAATTCAATTCGGACATTTCAACCTATTACAAATTGGGTAACAAGTGTACAGCAGTGCCTTCCGCTGCACAATTCGTACTCTCAACCCAGATATCAGAAGAACAGTTATATAAGTCGGAAGCGTAAATTATTCATCAATCAATCACAATTCAATGCTCGGAACTTCGGACTCCGAAAAGAATGGTATAAAGAAAACGGAATATATAGCTGAGGAAATGCTATATCCAACAAGCTAGGAAAAACAAACCCCGTTCCGTTTCACCATTGATGAATATCATATCTATCAGCAGCCGACTCGTATAAGGTGTATTATATACAGACAGTCAGTCAGTCATTCGGTGTGATATTTGCATTCCAACAAGGCAAGGCGTATCAATTCACCACCACCTGATGAAGGGGGCACCCACCGACCCGAGTGATCCACTACAATATGGGTATAGGCTGATGCTTGGATTGTCGGCTCAAATTACGGTGGCGGAAGAAGGAAAAAAATTATTTGATATTTTTGTCCCCAGCCAGAATTGACGTAAATGTGACAAAGCCATATCGGAATCGTATGGTTGATTGACGCCTGATGCCTCGCTGGTGACACACGATTGGAACACTACACTTTGGCATATTAATTATAGATGCTTTAATGATGTGGATTTGCATTCGGAACGTCCATTGAACCTTCGATAATTTGGAAGATCGTGTGATAGCTGGACAGTTGCGAATGCCGTAATCGGTCGATACTGGACAGATTGACAAGGGATGTTAGATTTTTGATAAGTTTTAGCCCGCTAACCAGCAGTGCCCATTGTACACCTATCCAATATGACATATTCCTGTTAGGTGGAAGTCTAATAAATTTGTGCTATAAGATAATCCAATGAAAATGATATGATTGAAAATTTGTCAGGTAAATGCTTTATGAATATCTGATACATTTGCAATGCTGATAAGTTGATAAATTTTTTTATGAACATCATATGATAAGTAAAAATCGGTCAAATTATAAGAATTCAATAAAATGGATTTGAAACCCATATGCATAAGCTTTACTTTTCACTACAATACATGTCATATATCAATCTAATTAATGTTTATGTGAAAAACACATGAAATTTATTTCTTGTTTAGGCACATACATTTTATTTATTTTTTCATTTCATCAAATTAATCAAATAATAACCAACAGATGGAGCTTCCAGATATGTGTCTCTTTTTTTTTCTATTGCAGCTGATTTGGGATTTGATCCATGAAGTTATAACAACTCCCTCGACATGGAATGGTACTGTTGTGCTCATTTTCCTAGAGAGCGATTCTATAGACAAATTCGCAAATCCTTTAAAATTTCGGATTGTTTTTGGCTGAAAATTTTCAGAAATGTTCCTCATGACCAATAATGCCGTTTTGCATCTTCAGATTACCATTTTAAAACGAGCCTTAATTTTTAAAAGGACCTATAGACAAATGTTAAGCTTATCTTCAGAAAATTGTTGCTTTTAAATTGTTTGTCCAATCAGTTTGGTACCTTGGGCAATGTTGTAGGAAACATCTGGAACTCGTTAAGAAAATGCACTCTAAAAAAATTGTTACTATTTTTTTATTTAAAATTAAAACTAAAAGATCGTCTTTCTCAAAAACGCATTTTATGCATTTTTTTAAGTTTTATATAGGGGAATTTACGTATTCTCGGCAATCTAAGTAGCGACCTTCTTTCTATAGCTTTTTTCTCTATGGAACGCACACATATGCAGTATTGGTTTGTTTACAATCTTTTGCTGCCAGCTGCTCTAACAATTTCAGTCAAAAGAATTGTCAAAAACTGTTTTGAAACGCTTTTACAAAGCTCCAATCTTCTCTAGTGAGAGCGAGTATTGTCGGCAACCAGTTTTTCTTCGGCAACCGTTCCATTTGAACTGCATGTAAATCTGCTGTTCTATTATCGGCAACTCGAAATCAGCTACAATTTGTAGTGCGTGTGTTTCATTTCAAGAAAACCCTGCTAGATTGCTTTTTCTCACTGGAAAAAATATAGTCAAATTGAAGCTGAAAGCATAAAGAATCGTTTGCATGCATTCAGCGAAGTGTTTTCGTAAGAAAATCCAGTGAAAATAGTGTTTCAATTTGGGTTGCCGAAAATAGTCTGTCATGCCGAAGCCGTAATTTCCCCTATGTTTTAAGTTCTATGAATTTCCTACGATATTACCAGAAGCACTAAACCTTAAAGGAATTCGTATGAACTTTCCATATGTTCTCCAGTTTTCCTAAACTCTAAAAAGATCTACCAATGTCCCAGAAATTATTCAATTTTCTCAGAAACAATATGAATTTCCTGGAAGTTCTATGAACTTCCAAGAGTTTCTATAATTTTCTCAGCAGGTCTAAAATTTTCCCAGAAGTTCTACGAATTTGCAGGGTAAACTTCCTAGATTTTTTACGAATTCCCTAGCAGTTCAGCATTTTTTGCATAAGTTCAACCAATTAGCAATAAGTTCTACGAACTTTCAATAAGTTTTACCTACTATGAAGAAGATTTACGAACTCCCCAGAATTTCTGCGAATTTCCCATAAGATCAGCGAATTTCCCATAAGATCAGCGAATTTCCCAGAAGTTGTAAAGATTTCGCAGTAGTTTCTAAGAAGCTCTAGGATTTCAAGATATTCCACTCATTTCCCAGCCGTTCTTTTTTTTCAAAAGTTCTAAGAAATTTCCAGAAGTTCTACAAACTTCCCAGAAGTTAAACAATTTCCCCAACAGCTCTACGAACTTTCCAGCAGTTCTAATTTTTTCCTAAAAGTTCTACGAAATTTCCCGAAAATATAAGGTCTTCTTTAAAGATCTCCCAACCCTTCAGAAGTTCTACGCATTTTCCATGAGTTCTATGAATTATCCAGCAGTTCTTTGAATTTCCCAAAAGCTATACGAATTTCTTATAAACTATACGATTTTCCCAGAAGTGCTACTTCCTAGAATAGGACTACCTAGAATTTCTAGGAATTTGCTAGCAGTTTTTACATTTTCTCAGAAGTTTAACGTATTTCCCATAAGATCTACCAACTACCCAGAACTTTTACGAATTTCCTAGAAGTTCTACGAATTTTGCGGATTTTCCAAGACGCTCAACGATAGTTTTTATAATGCAACGTTTTATGTGTAACACACATCATAACAAAATAAGATAGTAAGTTACTGTACAAGCAGGAGCTCCTACACTAGAAAAAAAAACCACACGTCTCACTTCGATTAAACACATGATATTTCAAATGCACCATCACATTTATTTTAAGTGTATTTCATCTTGGTTATATGTGTTATACACGTTAATTTCTTGTGTAGCAAACTTTGAAATGTTGAAAATCCCTCAATTCAATTTATTCATTTATTTAATTAAATCTCCAACATAATGTTGTACAGATATTTTCTAGGCTAGGTGTCGAATTCTATGTCTGTAAGTAGACTTACTAATGTTAAAATCATATACATCAAACGTTTCATTAAACACACGACAGCACAAAGTCCACGGTTCGTTGAATCCATAGTTGGTCCGATGGGTAGGTTGCCATAGAAGCGTGTAACTACGTAGAACTCTTTGAGGAGCATTGATGTAGATTTGGCTCACAAGAGAGTTGCAATCCACGTCACCGTTAAGCAATCCAAACACGAAGAGTCGCTGAAGTAGTTTCCTCCTTGCTGCCAACGTGTCCAGGTCAATCAGCCTGCACCGTTCTTCGTAAGGCGGCAAATTTACCGAATCGTCCCAGGGCAGAACACGTAAAGCGTATCTTACGAAGTTTCGCTGAATGGCTTCGATTCTGTTAGCTTGAATAGCGTAGAAGGGTGCCCACACAACAACAGCATACTCTAGAAGACTGCGGACGAGAGCACAGTATAGTGATTTCAGCGCGTAGATGTCCTGGAATGCGTTTGTGTTTCGTTTCAAGAAACCTAATGTGGCGAATGCTTTAGCAGTTATCATGGAGATGTGCTCAAACATCGAAAACAAGAGATTTGACCACCGACGAACCGACGTGCCAGCTCATAGAAGCTACATTCAAATTCTTGCCCAAGACGCCATATTTAAAATACATTAAACACTACTGCTATCTACTCATCCGATCGCGTCATATTGTGAGCAAGGATACGAACACACGTAAAATTTATATTGACTTGGTTTGTGTCTCACCTCGTTTGACAGATCTGATCGCCCGTTTGCCAGACCGAATCACTCATTTTTGACAAATCGAATTGCGGACAAAGGATATGGTCCATCAGTGGTATATCGGTTTGTCGGTGGTACAACTTCCACCAGAAACTTGTGATTGCGCTGGCGTTGCAAAACTTACACTAGACACTAAGTGCTGGTAGCTCCAAGTGGCAATTTTCAAGAGATAATTTATCGATACTTGCGCCAAATTGGTCGAAAGTGGTAAATTTATAGAGGAAATCATGGTAAATTTATAGAGAAAACGGCGACGTTTCCACTTAACTTTACACAAGTTTCTGACCGAACTTGGACGTCTGTTCTCTGTGCTTCGATTGAATTTTAATTTGAGCAAATACTTTTTTGATCGTTTCGGTAGTATCGGCACCGACAAACTGACATGACACTTAATTCTGACTTATGCCCGAAAATCGTAAACGGCTGAATTAAATATGCAGTGATCCGAACTGTCAAAACCATAGGATTTTTTATCTAGATAAAAATAATTAGTCAGAATAGATCAAACACAAACCAATTCATAACTTTTGCATGTGGGTTCATGGCTTAGCTAAATATTTCCCGTGAACTCGGAACCAAATGTCATTAGTGTGCTTTGGTCAGAAATTTTATTTTTTTTGCTATGGTCATTCATGTCGGTTTGTCGGTGGTATCGGTATTCAAACGAAGCATTTGAATAATCAATTTTTGACAACACCGAGTGAAACCAACAATCAATACGAAACTGACGATTTTAAATTGGCTCACTACTTGACTAGCCTATTG